CTTTCCATTGACTTCAGTGGAATCAAGCCCCGTATGCTGAATAAGCAATCAATTCCTTCCCCACAGGAGAAAGTTTTTCATGTCTGTAATTCATTTAAATGACTAGAACAAGGAAAGGGACTGAGTGCAGGAAGAGTTGAAAGAAAAGCCAGGATCATGCAGTGCAATGAGGAAAGCAGTCCTGCAAAACATCTTCGTGATGAAGAAAGAGATTGTGAGGATAGTTACTTGTAAGAGGAGATCAGCTGTTACCACACCTTCCACCTCACACCCGAAACCTCTGAACACAGACAATTCCTCCCCCCCCACTCCACAGCCAGCAGCCTCTTTGATACAACATTGTAGGTATGTTTCTCACTTTAATTTTCCGCAAGTTGGTTCTGTTCTAATTAACATCTCAAGCCGTACGAGGGATTCCCCGCATCTCACAACTCAGGCGCTGTTTCTTTCTCTTAATTTTCTTCCAGTGTTAACACAACTTTTTAGAAGCATCAAGGCACTGCTTTTTGCAGGCTTTCAAGTCACTCTTTCTTTTTAGATGCCTACTAACTCAACCATAAATTTATAGTTACAACCACCACCACTTTCTGCACTTTTATTTGGCTTCATTCACAATGCAAATACAAAACAGAACTTCAAAGCTGAGCAGAAATCCTTTTGCTTCATGATAGCCCAATTCCTTTCCACATTTCTTTTCAAGCATGCAATGACAGGATTAGCTGGGGATTAATTACTTGAAACTCAACCTGCATCTCAGGTCACAATTTTCTCATATTTTCAGCCTTTAAAACTTCCGTTTCAACCAAATATTTGCCATACAGACCAATACTTAGATAAGATACTGTTCTTTTCACACAAACGTCCTAGCTGGAGGTCTCAAGACCCAAACAAAAATCCTGCTTGCGGTGCAAACTCCAATCCTCACACCCCAAGTTACAGTCCTATTCCCAAATGGAAACCAGACTGCTTTCCAAACATGTCACCTTTAAAGGCACAAAAAAGATCATTCAAAAAACCAGCATTCTCTGCTTCCTGTGTCGTCCCTTAAAGGCAACTGCTCTTCTGATAAAATATACTGACTCACTGGAGGGTAACCTAAACAATCTGTTTAAGTGCAATGTGATTTGATTTTTTATTAACTTTTTTCATAAGAATGGTCATTGCCTGGATTAAAATACATCTGTGCCAACATATTGACTCAGAACTGACTGTAAAATTTGGTTAGCAGCACAGCAGGACTAGTCTAGGCTGGACACTTCAAGGAAGCCAGTCATTTGAAGGGAGTCTTTTTCAATAGAAAGGGTCATCTAAATAATCACAGCATGTAAGAAGATAATTTCTTAATTAAGATATCCCCTGCCATTGTTGTCCTAGTGGAAACACATCATTATCATGGTAATGACAAATGTTGTGAAGTAGAGATGCCTAAAATTTTGCTTTGACTGAAGTCATAAAAGCAAAGAATAAAAATGCCTCCAGATCTTTTTTTTTTTTTTTTTTAAACGACTTGTGTCCTCCAGTCAACAGGAAACATTCAGGTTCATGGGCTAGATGTAACTGTATTCTATTTATTTATTACTTTATTTTGTTTATAGATCTTTTCTTGTCCAGTTCATTCCAGTTGTAACAGCAAAATGAAACAAAACCAAACCAAAACAAACCTCCTCTGCCATTAAATTTCACTTTCAACCAAAAATAATCTTGGCCCAAATAAGATCTGGCAGTAGCACTCTGAAAACACCCTCAAGTGATTCTTTGCAAAGATATTTAGGTCATCTATAAAAACTAACGGCCAAGAAAGACCATTATTTTAATTTTATATTGAATCTAGTCTGATGCACATGCCATAAAAGGAGCAAAACGAACTGCACCACCTGCAGGGCACATCTTACTTGCTGCTCTGAGAATGAAAAGAGTCAAGAGCAGGAGAGAAGAGCAAAAAAGGCAGGCAAACCGAGTTGAACATAGAAGAGTAAATTAAACAATAAAGACATCAAGAGAAAGAAAGTATTAAAAGCAAGTGTTCAAGCACGTTCAAACAAAACACAGGTACTGTGTCAAACACCATATACAACCAAGTTATGCCAAATTCACAGTGCCCCTCTTGGTAGCTTTGCATGAAAATAAGAACTGGTGAGGAAGGTGTATACTTCTTCAGGGAAATGGTTTTGAACTAAAAAACACACAGTGGTGGTGAGGCAAGAGTAAGCAGGGTGAAAACTTTCACAAGAGAGACTTTTGGTTGTGCGAGGGATGTGGGTTACTGGTAGCGTGTGCGTTTTTTGGACTTTTTAACAAAAGGTAAATATGATCTTGACACCTCAATGGAAGGAGTCCTCCATGTCAAAATTGAACTTTAAATTACTGAACCTGAAAGATACTCTTGCAAAAATCTTTTCATGTCTGTATAAAAACAGTAGTTTAAAACTGGTAATATATAGATACTACTTAAATGCCCCAAATTATATACCTTTCCTCAACCATGCTCACTCATTATTAGCTTAGACCACTTAATACAAATTATTCCAATAACAACTTCCCTACAAATGGATGGAGAAGAGCTAGTTGCCACCTTTTAGTTCAAATGACTGCCTTGTTTTTTTGATCGCAGCACACTACAGAAACCTAGGAGCACAGAGCAGGTTGCCTGCACTGATTCCCTATGGAGCAGATACCCAACACGTGCAGTTTGGGAGCAAATCACCAGGACTCTCATCTATCCCATTCACATCAGCCTCTTGGTCCCTTTTCTCTTCCCAGGTCAGGGAGCAGCCACCAAGTCCAGACAATAAATTCCCCTTTTCTCTTTATAATAAGATTAGTGAATAGATTTTTTTTTTTAACTCCTTTTAAAAACCAGAGCTATCTAACAAGCCACTGCCTGTGCAATAGGTGGGGACAGAAACGGTGTGTTGCACTAGGACACTGTAGGTGTCTCCATCAGAAAACTGACTCGTCCACCCAGAACACAAACCCAACAAACTGCTGTATCTATCACGCAGCTGCCAAACTCCTCCCAGGCCACCAGCACCTGATACTCACCACAAAAACACAGGGCTCGCTCCACCTGAATACATCCTAGCGCCTTCTTTTTACCTTCCTAGCTTACCTTTCCCTCTCTCATCCAGTAAGCTTCATCTACACTGCTGCCACAAGGGAGCTGCTGTCAACTCCATTTAGAAACAGAGCACTAGTGTCACCTGAAAGCAGATGCCCCAAGGCCAGTCAAAGCTTGCTGTGGGCTGGTGCTCCAGCAACAAGTCTCCCTCGACACTGCTCTGATGATGATTAGAAAAGAGCTCAGTATTATCATTGCCAGGGCGCACCAACCTCAATCTGATTATTGCCATTGCCGTAGCATCACCAAAAATCTCGTTTCTCCACTGAGGATCCAGCCCTGCTACAGCGGCAGTTGCTTGCCTTCCCTGTAGGGGAAGCACAGGCTTTCTGAAAGGATGGTGTCTCCTTCCAAGCCAGGCGGTGGTAGGGGAGACAAGTTTTACCAGTACAACTCATGGCTGAGTGCATTTTCCTGTCTTTATTAAGGGTTTACACCAGTGCTGCTACCTTGGAAGTCTGCCATCAATAAGCAGGTCAAACCCCTTAGTCTGGGAAAAGCCTCTCTATTGTTCTCTGTCTCATGAACAGTTCTTCAGTAACTACCTATTTTTTTTGGAGAGCAGGGTGTTAGAAAACAATTGATATGAATAAAAAGCTCTCCTTCACCATTGAAAGTAAACTGTATGCTTAATAAGATGAAATAATTTGGTCTCTGTGGGCTAGAAAACAATAGCCTCACTGTTGCACTGATACCTTGCAAGTTATGTCCTCACATCACCCAAAGCAAACTGTAATAGGGACTGCTCCACAGCTCAGATTCCCTTTAAATCTCTTAGCTAACCTCTTCTACCTCTTCAGGTTTCCCTCTTTAGCACAGACATGAATCAGTTGCTTCAGGAAACCTCAATTCCATCAAAAAATATGAAGTTATCTTATCTCCTATGAGGCTGTACTTGATTCCCTCAAGTTTCTTACAAATATCCTTAACTTCCACTCTTTACACCAGGAGCTGAGATTGCATAATGAAGAAAATAATATCAACAACTGTGACTGACTTAAAAGGGAGCAACAGCAAGTAGAGCTTTGTGTTCTCTTTCTCCCAGCAGGATGAGAATCTACTAATTACTTTATTACAGTGTGGGTGGAAAAAGGAGTGAATTTCAAATCAGCATAGCATTCGACACAGTATTTCCTTTTTAGCAAAGAACGAAAAATAACCCCAAACCTAGAATAAATCTCCCTCTCCAACTTCTCCGATTGTTTACACCAGGGTTGAGGTTACTTATACAGCGGCACAATATTAAAGATTCCATACACTTCTCCATGCCTTAGGGCATAAGCCCACCATTAGTTGTCTAAGAAACATTTCCTAGAGGCAAGCTACTACATAATGCTCAGGATGATGTTTCTTGCATCCTCCTTCTTTGATCTGTCAAATAAAAGCCACCGCAAGAACAAAATGCTAAAGACTATATTATTTTATTTTCCTGCCACAATTCTATACTTATTTGCTCTCATTTTTATGGATCTTTTTATCATTACTGACGCAGACAAAGAGCCACTGGAAGCAGCCAAACAAATGATGTAAGGCACAATGAAATATTCAACACACACGTTCACCTTCAAGATAAGACAATAATATCAGAACATCTGAAACCTGAGTCTTTTCCCAGATACGCTAAGCTATACCACTGAATTCAAATGGGTTTTAGCAGTTTAATTTGCCCCCTTGATACTCAAAGGCACAGAGATTATTCCATTACTGAAAAATTTACCACCACCATTATACAACAGCAACAGCTAGGGATTTGCAAGATAACAAAGAATACCACTGAGGCATCAGAGAGAGGACAAGAAAGGAAGATTCCTCCACGGGGAGGCCCTTTCATGAGGAACATCCTCAGGGGCTACAATCCACCGTGAGCACAAGGCGCTCTTACCTGTGTGAGTGAGCATGTGCCGCTGCAGGGAATTTGCCCATGGAAAGACTCGAGGACGGTAAGGACAGGGGATATTTTGCAGGCAGTCTGAGTAAGTGTTCCTCTTCCCTCTCAGCAGCTTATCTTCAGCAGTTTCCTTCTCGTCCTCACTTGTTCCATTTCTGCTGCTTTCTTCCTTGAAATTGTCAGTGGACTGCAGAAACGGGCTAAATTTATTAGTGTCTGTGGTAGCCAGCATCTTCTCTATGCTAGCAAACTCCCCACTTGACTCCAGATCCACACTGCTGCTAAGTTTAGGCTTATTTTTCGTTCCTTTCTTTCTACCTCTTTTCTTAGTCAACCCAGCATCGGCAATGGGAGACTGCTCTGGATCACACGCCTGAGTCAGGTCACTGGGCAGGCTGGAGTCTCTCTGAACGGCGGTCACGATTGTCACTTTTGCTTTGGCATTCCCTGATTTGTCACACCCAGTGGAGCTGCTTGCTGCCTTGGGACTGGCGTCTGCAGCCTCCGTTTTCAGCAAAGCGGGAGCAGAAGACACAGATGAAATGATCTGTGCAATGGAAGCCAACGGTGGCAGATCTTTAGTTACTGGAGGCTTTGGCAAGAGAGGTGGTGGTGGTGGTTTAGGCCTCAAGGGTCTCAGCAAGGCAGAATTGCCAAGGAGAGCCGGGGAAATGATCGGGACAGTCAAATGCAACGAACCTTTTGGTGGCTGGGAATGTCCAACAGCCCTGCTTTTCTCTGAGTTCCCATTGGCACCAAAACCCAAAGGACACTGCAGACAGTTATAGGCTTTATCACTGTTCCCAGAAGCAGCCAACTCTTGATTTCTGGCTTCACATGGGACATCATCTTTATCCTTCTTCAGGGCTTTGGGGATGGACAGGTCGATGGGCTCCATGGAACAGTCATAGAGGGACAGGGGAGAAGAGCCAAACAGGTTCTCCTGCTTCACTTGCACAGCATTCAGGTTTTTGTTCTTCTGAGAGAAATCTAATGGCTCGTCAAAATCCATCGGGAAGTTGCCCGTAGGTTCAAGTTTGATGGGAACATGAGACGACGTCCCAAGCAGGAAGCCATTTTGTGGCTCCAGGAAAGGTGTCAGGGACTTGCGGTCCATATAAGTGCTGTCTTCCAATAAAGGAGCATCTGTCTGGCTTTCCTGGGCACTGCAGTCCACTGCTAAGATGTAATTCTCAATCTCCCTTTCTTGTACGTGCAAGTGCTGCTTGAGGATATGGTGAATGCAATTTCTCTTGGCCGAAAAGGCTGTGCCACACTCCTTGCACTCAAATGGCTTCTTCTTCTGGCAGCCACTGTGCGTCCTCATGTGAATGCGGAGGGCCCGGTAATGCTTCAGGTCCTCGCCACATAGCTTGCATACGGTGTCTGGGGAGCAGAAGGCATCCACCATCTCTGCGGCATTGCTGGTGACATACTCGATATTCTTCTCTATATCCTTCCTGGTCACTTTGAGGTGCTTCTTTCGCAGGTGCCTCTCACAATTGGCTTTGACTGTGAATGGGTAGTGGCAGATTTTACAGATGTAAGGCCTCTCCCCGCTGTGTGTCCGCAGGTGCCGGATCAGTGCTGCCTTGTCAGCTGCGATGTAGTCACAGATGTTGCACTGGTATGGTGAAATACCCAAGTGAGAACGGATGTGAGCTCTCAGGACACCAGAGAAGGCGAACACCTGGTCACAGAAACGGCAAGGGTACAAAACTTTCCTCATGGTTGGGGCTTTCTTGTTTGCTGCCCCGGCGATGATGGCTTTGAGGTCCCCTTCTGTCACCTCTTGCTTGATCTTGGCTTCCATGCTCAGAGGCAAGAGAGCTTCGATGATGCTGTCCTGCTCCAGCTGTGTCTTCATCTCGTGCTGAGTTAAAGGCTCTACTTTGGGTTGGAGGAGCGACTGCGAGGAAGGACTCGATTTGCCTCCTGGCTGGGGGAGGTGAGAGTTGGAGGAGGACTCCACTGAGTTCTTGATCAGCCTCAGAGGGGGAGGTGGGAGGCTTGGGCTGATGCAGCCAGGGGAGGCTTGCTGGGCACTGATAAGAGGAGGAGGTGTAGAGGTTGCGACGACTGTTCGGGGCGTTACCAAAGGCTTTGGCTTCAGTGGCGGCATATGCTTGAAAATGGACTGCACAGGGACAGAAGGTGCCTTAGAAAGTGGAGGAAGACTGATTTGAGGAGGAGCAGAAGAAGCCATCTTCAAGATCTGCTGAATGTCTGCCAGCTCAATGGCAGACTCGTTGGAGATGGGTTTTACCACAATACTGCTGTCAGGCTGGATGATAAAACCCTTCTGGAAAGGCTGCAGCGAGAGGAGCTTTATGTTTTCTTTTGTAGGGGGAAGGACTGAAAATGACCCTCCCATAGAGGCAGCTTCCAAAGGAGAGAGGCTGAGCAGACCGGTGCTGCCGGGTTCCTGAGGTAGGTTACTCTTCAGTGCTCTGAGCCGTATTTCTTGGACCTCATCTTGTGTATTGTCCTCCTGCTTGACAGGCTTGATGTCTTTGGTGTACTGTAGGCCCAAGGATGCCATGAAGGCTTTCTGGTCTGGGTTCTCGACGGGTGGGGTCGTGGACTGTGGCTTGTGCTTATCTTTTCCCTGATCCACCACGTGAGTTTCTGTGTGCAGTTTGAGTGCCGAAAGCATGGGGAATGCCTTGTTACACGTCTCGCAAATAAATCGATGGAAGTCACTGATGCACCTTCGCAGATTTGTTTCACACCAGACCTGCAAGACATGCAAAAATATTTAGAGTAGACATCTCAAACTGGAAAGGCATCACATGCTGCTGCAAACCAAACCCAGTTCACTCTCTCTTCCACTGCCCAAGTTAAGGAGGTTAGAGCAGCCACCACCTACCTGGCATGGAGATGTTCCTGCTCCACAGGCTTTAGTCACCTAAGTGGTATATCTAAATTAGGGGCTGATTCTCCAAAAGTTCCCTTCTATAAAGACAAACTCCCTCAGAGGGCTACTCAGATTCTCAAGTACTTTTCCATCCTGAACTTCCCTTCCAGAAACCTCTCTCAGTTCACTGACAGGACAGAAGCCTCAGTAGACAGCAAACTTCAGTAAGCTGGGCAGTAAGACTATCTCCTTTTAGCTTTATGACTACAAAGAAACTAGGAGGAGGGGAGAAAAACCAAAATGGTACCCAAGAAGGCAAAACAACATAAACCAACCAAAATAACATCCCGCAAAAGCAAATCAATGAAATGTAGAGCCCAAAGCAGAAAGCGATGTCTGATTACATTTATTCTCCCAAGAAAAATACTAACCTCACAAATGGATTTTATACCTGTCCCTGAAAACGATCACGAATCCAAATGCTATATTTAAATGCTACCCAGATAGCTCACATGTTGCAAAAGTTCCACATCAAAGAAGAGCACAAGTGATAAATTAAGTAGAGGGCTGGCAAGACCTTTATATACTCTACACACTTTGTCCAGATACTTTGTAGGTCTTGCCTGACAGTGCAAGCAAAATTATTACAAAAGGGAAGTCCCACCATTTAAATCCCTTAATAACTTTAAATGTCTGCCATTAATTACAAAAGAAATAAACCCAAGTTGTTTAAAAAGTTCTCTCTTCTCATGATTTTGTAACTCTTACATCAAACCTCTATTAGAGTTACAGAATGACCTACATGCTCCCCTGGACCAGCAGCAAATTTTAGGTCTCCCACTCTGTAGCCGGAAAAGCTGGAAATCAATGCTTTAATCCAAGGAAAGTAAGAAAAAGTTAGATATTGAGGAAGCGTGGTCCTGATGGATTGTGCTGTTGATTTTTTTTTTCTTTTTTAATAGATAAGCAGCTTCATCCAGACCCAAACCAACTAAGGCAGGCAAGGTTTGACAGAGCTTTATGGCTCTCAGAAAAATATTAACAGACTACCTGTCTGCCTTTCCCCAGTCAGTTACCCTCAAAGGTGCAAAATCTTCAGAACTCATGTAAGGAATGTAGTAGAAAGGTATTTGGGAATGCTTTCTGAAGAAGTCACTGAAGATGTCACCATTTAGTAAAGTGACTTCCCAAAGTTTTTAATGATAAAATCTTTCATACCACGACTGCATCTTTGTTACACTAAATTAAAATAAATAATGCCTTCCTTACCAGGTGTCCTTCCTATTGATTTTAGATGTGGGATGATTTGGGGAAGGTGAGAACTAATGTGCAGGCTGGAAGGGGCAAGGATCTAATACCACCCAAGTTTTCCTTTAAAATATTTTTGTAGACCTTTACACTAATTGTTACCCACTGGAATGCTGAAAAAACCCCCAACCACCAAATATTCTTTAGATGAAAAAAGAAAAAGGAAAGACAGGAAGTGTTTGAAGCCTACACAGACAGTGGTAACGTGTTTTCCACAAAATATTCTACACCCAATCTCTGCCCCATCAAGGACGAGTCTTTCAATTAATTCAGAATGCATTCCATCACTTGGTATCATAAGCTATGAAGAACAGAGGGTACCTGAGAAATGCGGGGGAACTTCCTACAGGAGAAGTCCGTGAATCCCAAGTCGTGGAAGCCTGCCGGAATTGAAGGGTTGTTCTGAATGAAAGGCTTTCCCATGGGATCTCTGGGAAGCTGCTTGTGGATAACTGCATTATGGCGCAGTAAGCCCCGATGAGTACGAAAGGTAATACAACAGATGTCACACCTGGAAAGGAAAAAAACAGAAATTACTGACTGCTGCAAGCTTAAGAACTACATTCTTCTCGCACTAGGCCAGCCTCCTTCCTCTCGCCCCATGATACTAAGAACCTGCTAAATGCAAAATGAAGCCACAGCGTGTCAAAAACCTATCACCACAGAAAGGCCATTTCAGTCACAGTCACTTTCTACCAGTTTCTGGCTGTTAGGTTCACTGGAAGTTCAAAGAATATAGTGCATGAGAACTGAGTGTCCCACGTGGGCAGACGGCAAAGTGGCAGCTGAGACCACAGCCTTCTAACAACCTTCCCATAGTCTGGCATAAAATATTTCAATGGCTTTACACAGTTTTATTTTTACTAAAAATACTATTAAAATAAAAGACATTTCAAAAAAATCAGTGACAAGGAGAGGCTAAACTAGACCTAAGTAGCAAGCAGCTGCAAATGTATAAATAGCACCTTTTTTAACTACTGCTTAAAACATACTACTGCACGCCACTCAAATAACTGTGTATGAATTTTCTCTGCACTGCCCTTCCATAAACTTTCACTGATTTTTCTCAAAGCTGTTATGAGAAATATACTGTTTTAAAAGAAAAACTAGTGCTCCTTGAAGGGGAGGAGGGTGAGAGGAGGAAGACCTGAAACAGGTTCAACACTTCTGACACAGCACACACAATGTAAATCCCCTTCACAGCCAGCATGCCCCAAAGAAAAATGCAGAAGCAATGTCTTTCCCT